GTTTGGTAGGACGGGTATTCGAACCCGCTACCCTCAGATTGCGAGTCGAGCGCCATATCCACCTGGCCATGACGGGCGTATTTAATATTGGAAAAGGATAAATGATCAGTTGGACCAAAAAACGTCAAGATGATGAAAACAGATTTATTATTTAATATTTGAAACAAAAACAATTTGGTTGTTGAACCAGAAAAACAAATTGAAGATAACCAAGTAGTGACATGTTATTTAATATTGAAAATGTCTATGTTAAATGATAAAATGTCAAGTTAAACAAGGACAGATATATATTTTTTAATACTGGAAACGAAAACCGCTGATTGTTTTGATGCAGCAAAAAAATTGCTAGGAAATTGACTAAATCCAGGAGCAAGTATGTAAAGAAGAAGAAGTGAAACCAGAAATCACCCATCATCAAGATTATAAAAGTGTGTAATTTTGAAAAACCAGAAACGTTTACAAATGTAGTCCAATTTATACATAACTCTATAAGTCTGAAAATGAAACTAGTAATTATACGGAAAACATAAACAAGATACAAACGTGATACAATGCTTGAAAAAAACCAACAACAAACAATTGCTTCATATATGACGTTTCATCGAGAGTAATGTAAAATGCTATAAGTTGGTCTAAGGTTATACGTACAGTAGCTTTAAGTGCCCAAAGAAATTAACTCATAAGTCCAGTAACTAATCTTGTAACTAAATAGTCGAGTTTAAAATTTAAAATGTCAATTTTTTACTTGTTTGAACATCAAAGCAGGAGTCGATGTTAGCGATACTTTTACTTTAAAGATGGAAATATATTTGTTTATACACATGATACTTGTTACTGCAGTCAAAACTCGGATAGTCTCACAGCTTTGAAATGTTCTTTGCGGGTAGCGACAAAATACTGTTTCACTGTTTTGGAACGTTTATTTCACTTTTATTTCGGAATGTTTTCTGCATCTTGCAACAAAATATCACAGCATTTCAATGCTTTGTGTACCAAACAGCAAAACTGTGGGTGACAATATCAGACTATTACTTGCACCTATAAACAAGAATATACTCGACAACATTAAAGAACAAACTATTTACTGGATTTAGAAACAAATTCACGTTTCACAGCTTTACCAATGTCGTTTGGACTTTTCGTAAGGACTTAATGTTTGATTTCTTTAAACTAATGGTGCAAAATCAAGTTATATACTTTGAATAGTATATTCAAACATCGCCGAAGATTTATTTTCTGGTTCTGGAATAAGTTGTTCCTTAGAATTGGACTACACAACGGGCTATCTGTCTCTCGTGCAACTGGGATATTCACTCCTAAATGTTAGCGGAATAAGTTGTTCATTACAGTTGAACTACACAACGGGCTATCTATCTATCCCACGTGCATTTGGGATATTCACTCTTAAATGTTAGCGGAATAAGTTGTTTCTTAGAATTGTACTACACAACGGGTTATCTGTCCTACGTTCAACTGGGATATTCACTCCTAAATGTTAGCGTTATAGGCAGTAAACGTTTCCGTTGAGCCACTGGAAGACTATGACATTGATATGAAAATAAATACTTATAGCAGAAATGCAGAAACAGAAACATGATTTGCAGTGCTAATGAACCTTTTCGTATTTGTTGTATTTAACTATATAATTTTGGAGGAAGCTGGAAAATATTTTGTATTTCGAAAAATAAATGTGTAGAAAGAAAATATAATTTATAAGATGTTGAGTTAGGAAAGATATATTTTTTTGGACATGGCATTAAAATAAATAAATATTTTCTCGAGATATCATATTAGCATTAGAATAAATAGATAAATATCTTTCCAAAACTTACTTTACAGTTGGCACGTACTTTCTGTTGTAAAACATACACACAAATATAGGAGGAACATATGTATATATATGATAAAAAGAATAAAGACGCGTTGAGTATAAAAAATCCGTAGGTCAAAGAAATCCCTAGTAAAAGAACATTCAGTTTGTGCAGGGTAGAAGAACGAATATAAGAAATCCCTACTTTTGGAACCATTGTCCAGAAGATCCACGATAACTGTTGCTGTTGATAGTACACGGCAGAAGAGTTCAGATTGGAATATACAAGTATTCACTTCGTTTACTGCTTCAGCATCTGTGGAATGAAAGTCTGGATTTTAAACACAGATTTACTTCGTTGCTGTTAAAAAAAAGAAGCAAAACAAAGCGAATTCTCAATAAAAATGTTTGTGGAGATGGTTAAAGGTCATTAAGGAGACTAATGCAATTCCTTTGAAATCAATAATGAGTATATAGGTACTGTTAATTAAGACCCAGCGCCGCGAAAAACTCGGCCCTAATATGGCCACGCCTTTTTTTTATTACTGATTTAATAACTGACTACTTTTACGCTTTCTGCAGTTAATATGCATCGTAAGCACAGTGCATGAGGGTAATGGATCACAAAGACGACAGACATGGCAAATATGGCATGTTCCTTTCTTTCGTTTTTTGTGTTCATCATATACTCTGCCAGTTACTACTGTTTCCATGCATCCTGGTATCCGATTGAAAATCTGAAATTAGTGTTGAAATCAGCTCAACTAATGTAGTTAAACTGTTTAGTAATAATTGCTATTGCGCTTTATGTGCTTTTTTCGATTATGTGTTTCGTAATTCTGTTTCGGCCAAATGTTTAGTAAAATATCCTACTTTTTCGCGGCCGCGAGTCTTAATATTAACACGCAATTAAAAGTGTGTAAGGTAAATAGTTTCAAACTGAGTTTATATGTAGTTATATTTTTCTAACATTTTAACATGTATGATAAATTTGTTTGTTTATAACCTGACGAAAAAAGATCCAGAGGGCGAGATAGCTAATAGCATCTACTAGGATAAAGATCTTATTTCATGGTTAGTGATGAATGAATGTTGCTTATGGCACCACTTTTTGTATAGGGGACATATATGAAGTTATATCTAGTTTATCGTTTAGTTGTTATTCAAAAAGACTGCAATAATCTTTGGGTAAATGTAAAAATATTATAGTACAAAAAATTTAAATGATTCTTTCTAATAAATCAAATGATATTACAAGTTTTTTTTTTTACATGCATTAATTGCTAAGCCCGTGAAATAGCTTTTATTGGTAGCAGTGACATAAATGGCAAAATAGAAGATTTTTTTAAACTTAGGATTATGTTTACCTTTAACATGTCAAATATCATTTACGTTTTAGTAGCCTTTAATTTGTAAAGAAATATAACTAGCACAAATCGAAAATATTAGAATGAATCAACATTGCGGTAAAGCTAGATTTCCATAAAATAGTCCCCTTTATTTTAATGTTCTTGTAAATAATTGTATAATTATGAAAACTAAGGTTTTGGTTTCGTTTTCTCCGATATAGATATTTGATTAAATAATAAAGATTGCTCAACAAAATGAATTTGATTCAAAGATATAGACCTTAGTTAAGTTCGTGACAGTGAGTTTAATAACCTAAGTTTTTATGTAAAACTATATTTGACATATGTATTTTATGTTATTTGATATTTTTATATCTTAAAAACTAAAATTTTAAGTTATTTTTTGCAATAATTATTTATTTTATGCTTCCATATAAATTAGTCTATGCTTCTATATATAATTTACGTGGATCAAGCTGAAGAGCAGAAATAAAACTGGGAATGTTTGTCTTCTATTTTGGGCATATTCATGCTTAATTTGTTTATAAAAACAATATATGTTTGCATATACCGTGTTTCCAATCGTATATCAATTACTTTTATTACGTTAAAAATTTGACTAAGTTGTGTATGTGTTTATAGATACCAAAAACGTGTACTTATTCGAAACTGTTCCAGTAAGAAAATGTTAGCTGGGTTGTGTGTGCTTGACATCACTAACTATCTTGTAACACGAAGTTAAATATGCAAATTCAATAATTTGTCATTCCGGTATACTTTGTCAGCTTAATTGATTTAATTTCCTTTTCTTTATATTCAAGCTGTTCTATATCAATATTTTTGCAGAGTTAGAACTCATTAGGAAACATACCTTGAAGCTTGCGCTGTGGCTACTATATTGTAATTTATAGAATATCTGTATTGAAATGGTTAATATTCCAATAACAGACTATTAACTTTAGTCTAATGTCTTAAGCTACAGCTTTCGGGTTTGAGTTTTGTGTTATTCCATAAACCTCAAGAGTAATTTCTTGAGCTCTAAATTTGTAGGATTTCTTGGATAAACCATAAACGATTCAATTAAAGTGAATCCCGTTGTGTTTTAAGTCAAGCTATATTCGAAACATTATGAAGTTGGTTAGGTGTAGGATAAAAACTTTCAAGTTCTTATTAAGAAGAAACGTTTCTGTAGTTTTATAAACAGTGTAACGATACAACTCAAATGTTAAAGTTACCAACAGAATAATTTTAAAATCACGTTTTTCAAAGCAATGGTGAAAAAAGCATATTGGCGGAAAAGCGATGAGGTGTAGAGGGAAACGTGGGGAATGACAAAGATTCCGAAAACATTTTGGTGATTTATTTTAAAGTGGCCTGGCATGGCTTGGTGGTTATGACGCTCGAATCGCAATATGCGGTAGCGAGATCGAAACCCTTCACCTAACATGCTCGATCTATTAGATGTGCGGAAGTTACAATGTGGCGGTTAATTTCATTGTTCATTGATAGCGAGCATCCAAAGAGTCGGCGGTGGTTAGTTTTTACTAGCAGTCTTCCCTCTAGCCTATCATCTGAAGACTAGGGACAGCTAGCGCAGATAGTTGTCGAGTAGCTTGTGCGAAATTCAATAAACAAACAATCATTTTCGATTCTTTCATTAGAAAGATAAAAAACTGAAAAACACATTTCTCTTAAATTTTGTCAAGTTGTATCTAGTCAATAATTAATGTATGCAAAACTTTTAAAATACAACAAAAGAAAAAACAATCCTATATGAATACAAGCTAAATGGGCTTCAACTTTTCGAATGCAGTTAGATACTAGTTGACAAATATGTTTTGATTAAATGCTATAGCTTTCGCAACCTTCGTAAGGAATATTCTTATTAATCATTTTTTATTTTCGTATTTAAAATTAAACATTTTATTTTTCAAATATATCTTGAAATTGATTTCAATTCTCGACTTATCTGTTTGTTTCGTTGCTTATTTTGATTTAGGTAAAAACCTTTAGAACTGTTCTCAATAAGTTTATGACATTTATTATTTGAAAAACAACAACAGCAAATTAACTGTATCATTTTTTAAAGATTGTGTTTGTTTTGTACACTTACTGAATATTTGTGTGTGTGTGTAACTGGATATTCACGACAGCCACCATATCTAGAAAATTTAACCAGTAATGTGTTAACAGCTGTATATCCAAATCACAGCTTTTTTTTTTTTCTTGCTTATATGAATTCCTATTGTGTAAAGTGTGATAAGATCTATAGATGAAGAAAAAGATAGTCTCTTATGTATCATATAAGTCATTCGTTTGAGTCACACACGTATTTGAATTACATTACATTACATTCTTAGAAAGATGTGGTCTCAAGGCATTTCTTATTCTTCTTAAGTTTCGATACTTTGTTATATATATACAGAAGAACATACATCAATGAGAGACTTGCACTTCAAACAAACTTTATAATGGTACTAGCTAAACAAAATATCGGAATCTTAGCATTCATGTTGACATGAGGAAGAGTAAAGACAAAAATGCTAACATCTGTAAACTTTCACATTGTTTAATCATCACGGCATAAATTACGCAGTAAATATATGTATGCTGAAGGCTGAGAAAAATATTTTTTGCAGCATAAACATAATAAAACGCATTATTGTGGATAATATGTGCAACTTGGCTATACTTACAGAGGTATGTAATGAATGAAGCCGTGCGTTTACTGAGTAAGATTTAGTGAAACAGACACAACGGCACTGATGGTAAAAGTTATCGTTATAATTATTTGTGAAAAAAAAAAGATTTTATTGTAACATATATAGATATATATATAAATCCTGCATTACACACTAGCTAAACGACATCAACTTGGATTAACCATATAACTTATTCAAAAATAGTAACTTTATAACTACCGAAATTATACTTTAAATAGTTTGATTGGTTGTTGTTAAACACAAAACATCATAATGGAACATCGGTTTCGATACCCATCGTAGGTATCGAAACTCGATTTTTAGCGTTATAAGTCCCCAGACTGACCGCTGAGCCAGCAGGTGCCCACTGTGGAGAGCACTACTATAAAATTCCAGAATTTTACTGTGTTATTGTATAATTTAGTCAAGTATGAATCAAAACATCTTGATGTGTATGTTTCAAACACAGAAACAAAAATTTGTAAAAAACACATATAAATGTAAAAACTTTTTACGAAGATTATATAGTAATAAAGAAACTACAAATGGTATACTTTACCAAATCAACTGTAAATATTTGAAAAATTATTATATAGGGAAGACGGATAGGAGAGTAGAAGTAAAACGTTTGGAACATAAAAAAATACTTTAGTATAAGAACACAGAAATGAAAATCAACATGAAACAATACATTTTAACACTGTAATTGTTTTAGGAAAATAGAATAAAATATTAGAAGTCTTAATAATTAAGAATAAAAATCCCCGTGTAACGAAAATACCAGTTACACCTGTAATTGTACTGAATGTTGATATTGTTTCATATAAGTTTATGTCAGTAGTTTGAGTGTGTAGCAGGTATTTGATGTTATCATATCTCCTTTTGTAGATATGAAACGCCATCATAATAAAACAATTTGGAATTTGTGAGTTTGAAGCTGTGTTTTAGAAGTATTACTTTACACGTTTTTTAATGAACTAGAAGCTATAGCATGTACGCTTGGTGTTCTTTTATCGCTTCAGGAGAAATTAGCTTAGCCATGGTAGTATAGTGGCACCTTTTGTATATCCATTCCTTACCTAAAAGTATCAAGAACATTTCGGATCAATACTCAAACTGATCCCAGTTTTGCTTCCCTATTTTAACATGTGGTTCTGTATGACTCACCCGTTACTATGGTATAATCTTCTGCTAACGTTTCAATAACAAAAAAGGTAATTTAGAAAAAGGTTTTGACATATAAGTGAGCTGAGACGTAAGGTCAA